AATTTATAACATTCTTATTTATTTATTTATTCTATTTATATCCTGCCTATCTGGTCTTGCGACCATTCTAGGTGGCTTATGGAAGCAAAAGTTGACTGTACAACTCAGTGCTTTATGCACCTGTCTGTAGAGCCAGAAGTTGGGCATTTTATTCTCTACTGTGCATCCTAGGAGAAGAGCACAGCCTGTGTGGCCTTGGGCAAGCTGCACAGTCCCAGGGTGTCCCCAGAAGGGAATCGTAAACCATTTCTATTGTCTGTCTCTGAAAATCATCACCATACGTCAGAAATGACTTGACAGCACTTAATTGCTCTTATAAAAGCAAACGTCTTACAGAAATCCAGCACCAGTAAATGCTGTATAATTCATTATTACAAATAATCTTCTGAGCTAGTCCACAATAGATCTATTTGGAATAAAGCTGACTTGAGCTACATGTATTGTTAGTCTAAAATATTGCTTAAGGCACACTGCTAGAACTGATGCAACTAATCAGTCTTGAGAAGTGAAATAGGCTTATAAGACTCAATTGACAGAGGGTCCTTTTGTGGCTTTACCATCACTGTGGAACAGGTCCAAGTCTCTGAAAGGATGGCCCCTCTCTAGGATAGCGATTATAAAAGGAACCACTATACTCATTTGGCCCCAAGGTGTTACTGGGTTCGATGTTTTTAATAGCTTCCATCACGTCCTCTAAAGTGATTTCATGTTCAAGGTTCTTCCTGCCTTCCTCATCAAGGGGCTTCACCTCAGTAGATACCCAGTACTAATACCACTAGAATTAGAAGAGGGGTCAGAGTAAAAGTGCTCATAAAAATCTTTTAATCTCTGATAATTTTTTATACAGATACCATGGAGTACAGACTTCATAGTCTAGCACTGATTTTTAAGATGGCTGTTCCAACAAAAGAGCCTCAAATGGAGACTGCATTATAAAACCACTGATTACAAACCTCTGTCAAAAATTTACCATTACCTTTGTTACTTAACTTACTGGTGATGGGATCTTTGTGTTGTCACTAACAAGTCCTTTTTTCTACTCTCACCCCCACTTCAAAAACATACTGTATATATTATCTATGACTCAGGATTACATATCTTGTTTCTTTTGCAATAGAATAACAGTTACTCCTCTGACAAAGGTACCAGTTAAGCCAATATAAATTCAGGCATATTTGTTCCTCTCATTCTTCTACTTTAGGCAGATGTCCATTATAAGAGTTTTAAAATAGAGCATTTTCATTCATTCATTATTTTATTAATAAAATGAAACACACACACACAACAGATTATTTAACGGCATTAATTACTTTGGGAATTGTGGAAGGTTCTTGATGTTATCACAATCAATCTTTCTGGCTTCTTATGCAAAGCTGCAGAATTGGTTTTGTCAGTTTGATTCTGGAAAGAAAACATTTGGACTAAAAACAGTGAATCTGCTTCTAGCTTATGCTCACCACCTCCCTCTGTAGAACATGAAAGTTCCACGTAAAGCTCCTCTCTGCGACTCCACATTATCAGACATCTTGGTTTTGTTTTTAAAAAACATGTATATGAATTGAATTCTGAATGCAATGTAAAATCCTACACTTACAATGAAAGACTGCTGACTTGTACCGAATATTGGCTGGTGGAATATTATAGGCATAAGATTGGATTCAGACTTAGTCATACTTAGAATATACCCAGAGAAATCAGTGGGAATGAAGTCAGTCATGATTAGCTTTAGTGCTACTGATTTCTACTCTAAATCTTAACCCAATCTTTTAAGTCCAACGGGACCTCTTTATAGTTGATACAATACTGATGAACAAGAGAAATCAAGAGTACAAACACAAAAGAGTGTTTGAGCCAACCCACGAACAAATAAGTTTAATAGTTTTCAGCAGACCATTGCTTTCTAGAAGCTCCACTGTCTCATCTATTTGAAGATGAACATACAGTAAACACAACAATATATGATACAACCCATCACAGCTGGATTTAAAAAATACATAAAATATAATACATAAAAATGGTTTTACATTGTGGACTGACAGAGCTCTTAAAAAAGGTGACCATAACCCTGGTAAGCTTTACAAAGTCTTTAAAAAAATAAAACAGTACTTCATGTGAAATTCATAAATACATGGGATGTGGGGGGGGGGGGTTGGTTACTTAGCTGCTGTGTACCTGTGTTACGTTCAACTAAGAGGGATTCATGAAGCCAGCGTTTCCTTAGCCTTGCTGCCATTCACCAAGGGACATCAAACAGGCAGTGATTTGTGTGTATATTAGTGTCTGTAAGCTTAAGTAGGTAAGGGATTCTGTGATGGGAAGGGCAGGGATGGGATCTAAATTAATGTCGTACAGAAATTACAAACAATAATGTATGGAAGGATCACAAAGAAAAGGGTAAGAAATGTAACATAGTCCAGTTTAAAAGGTTTATTCCAAAGGCTCTAGCCAGGTTGAAGATTGTGGATAAAATATAAAAACAGTTTGCATATAAAGAAATTCAGTACGAGACAAAATGAAGGCCCTCTCATTCTCCCCATGTGTACACTGAAATCTGTCCAAGGGAAACACATTTGCCCTCTCTTGAAAATACATTTTCGCAGAAAAAGAGTATTTTGTTGTACATAGTAGGCTAAGGAGATTGGGGAAAGTTGTAATCTTAATTCCCAGATTCTTTTATCTAGGAATGAAAATAAACATGCTACATATAAAATAGCCAGCACTCCTTTCCTTACAGATGCAAAGATCCTGGCAGTAATCATAAGGAATTCAATGTTCTTCCCCCTTTTAAGTATGTCTCCTCCCACACTAGTTATGACAGCTGTGATTTGATTCCAACAATGGTGTACCTCTCCCCCTTCAAGTACTCAGAGGTTTCAAAACGTACCTGAACTTTGAGCTGGCTTGCTGGCTTTCACTGAGCAGGTAGGTAGGTTTTTTTTTCACTTCAAGAGAAACAATGTGGCATTACAGAGATCAATTTGCCCCAAACATCACATGTAGTCACACCAACTTTGTCAAGAAGCAAAGTTTCTTGTTTCAAAAACAGTGAACACAGGAAGCAGAGGCAATGCCATTTGAATTCAGCCTACTTTTGGAACTTTTCTTCTCATCTTTGTTCATCCCCTCCTACCCCCGAGCCAGTCTCCATGTACCATTCCCACCAATGTAAGCACCTCAGGTTCTTTCACAACATAGAGAGGAGTGTTCATTTCCACTTGCTAATAAGAGTTTTCCAGAGGTCCTTGGGTGGCATCCATTTAAAAACATTTCACAGGCAAAATACTTATTTTAAAAAGTCCTTCAAAAGGTTGAAACACTACTGTCTGTTGTTCCTGTGGTATCATATCGTAGTTGCATGTTGCAGTCAAACAGTTCAAAGCCTTCTGGGAACATTTTTAAAGTCTGAGTTAGCCAATACCTTTCTACCTGCTTGTTCAGGCAAAAGGTGACTGTCTAGGTAGTCAAATAATAGGTGCTTAGTCAACAATGCAGTGGTGATACAGGCCCAAACTGAAGATGAGGCCCAAGTCAGTAATGAAAAGCAGAGCATGAAGAAGACTTTATGAGGTTCTGTAACATTATTTTCTTCTACTTTCTAAGACAGGACAATGGTAGAAAAGCCAAGGCAAAACAGAAGTGAATGGAGTTGTTACAATTATATAAACCAAAACTTTTGCCTTTGTACAGTCTAAATGTACCTGAGTCTGACAGAATCCATCCATTGTTGATAAGATTTTATTTTCAACAAAAGCTTAAATCCCCAATTCCATTTCACTGTTGGGGGGAGCGAGGTAGAGGATTCCATACAAACGTCTTAAGGCAAATGATCCTGGTAGTAAGCCCTTAAAAGCACCTTAGAACTGCTTCCCTTTAAGGCTAGACAAACATCTCAGAATGAGAAGTGTGGATGTCAGCCTGCACATTCCAATTACTCCTAAATATTGCAGTCTCACAATCCTCCTTCCCTTGCCCATGATTTTCTTGCCTTATATTGCACCATTTCCCAAATGCATGCTTTAAAGCACCTCCACTGGGATCATACTGGGGCTGTGAGAGAGCACAGAGTGGAGATTAGTCTGAAAAGGATCATTAAAAATGTGATCAGACTAAAAGAGGAGTGGGCAACATGTAACTCTACAGCTGCAGGTTGGACTCTCAGCCTATTTATAGTTTCAAAAACTTTCTGCATGTGATTTGCGCAGACCTTGGTAAGAGGGGCAGCCCCCTGGCCTGGAAGAAAGAGGGAGCGAGGGGAAAAAAATGGATGGCAGAAAGACAGAGGGGAAAGTGGGAAAAACCCACTTTTGGCTTTGCTTTTGCCAGATATAATACTTGTGAGGGAATGTGGCCCTCAAAGGGGAAAAAAAGTTTGCCCATCCTGGACTGAAAAAAAGAGGATGGTGCAAAGAGAAATTTTAATGAATCAACCAATTCTAAAATATTGCCTAGCAAAGGAAAAAGCTAAAGAACAAGATACAAAAAGCTGAATGGTAGAAAAAAGGCACAAACTTTACATTCGGTTAGTTTTTCTATTATTCAAAATGATAAGCTAGCATTTAGATACAATATCATTGACGCCTGTGGGCCTGAGCCCTGGAGGAGTCATGTATAGTGAAGCTACTGAGACCTGGACAATATTCATGTAACAGGATTCCTGAAAGCACCAATCCAAATTATGAAGTCCACTACATTTGATGGCAGATTTAAGGTCGTAGGGCTCATAGGTAAAGGTAAAGGTAGAGGTTCCCCTTGACAATTTTTGTCCAGTTGTGTTCGACTCTAGGAGGCGGTGCTCATCCCTGTTTCCAAGCCATAGAGCCAGCGTTTGTCCGAAGACAATCTTCCACGGTCACATGGCCAATGCGACTTAGACACGGAACACTGTTACCTTCCCACCGAAGTGGTCCCTATTTATCTACTTGCATTTGCATGCTTTCGAACCGCTAGGTTGGCGGGAGCTGGGACAAGCGACAGGCGCTCACTCCGTCGCGTGGATTCGATCTTACGACTGCTTGGTCTTCTGACCCTGCAACACAGGCTTCTGCGGTTTAGCCCGCAGCGCCACCACGTCCCCTAAGGGCTCATGGTTACATTTAAATCTTACACATACACTTTGCCCAGCATGCCCAACATCAAATGACATTCTTTATACCAAGCTGTACTATGTCCCATATTTCAGCAACATCCTTGGGTTGGACTGTCAGACTACTCAGTTTTCACTTTGGTTCTAGCAAAGTGAATCTAGAATATACTAAGTGGGAAGCACAGAATAGATAGAGGAAAACTTGCATCATGATATTCAGACCCGGTCTTTTCTTGACTACCGCAGATAAACAGGGAAGGAGAAGGAAAATGCTACTTTATCAAAACAATGCCCAGGGAGCAAAAACTTTGGTCTAAGCTTTTCTCATATTGTTTCTCACATGACAGATGTTTAAGAAAGGCTCTTTGAGAGTTGATTGAGATCCCAGAGAGGTTTAGAAAATTTTCTAAGTGACTCAATCTTAGCCAGCTCAAATATTTCTCCAGATAATATTCTTGAAATATTTCATAGGCCACTTGCAAGCCAGACTGCTAATTTGCAGACTGTATCATTCACAATTTCCTGAACTGCTTTCCTCCAGCTAAGCTTCCCACCTCTTCCTTCTAAAACATGCTCTAACCTTTCGACATCCCAAACAGATACCTTTAAGCTGCTCCTTTTCAAATAGGGTCATCTAAACACACACATACACACACACACACTCCTGTAGTTACGATTCCATCTATTATTGTAAGGTCTGAGACATTGCCACACATCTGCCCTAATCAACACTTGATGCCCTTCCACCAGCACCATAGCTTGGATGGAATGCAGTAGGTTCTGTAACTGAAAATGTGCAGGATATTGTCAGAACAAAACCACCTTTTTGTAATTAACCGAGTAGGTGTGTTAAAGAGCAAGAAAAATTATCTACCAATTCTCCATGTTGACTCTGCAAACAGTAAGAGATGGAAGAAAAAACCGTCCAGCTATTTTGTCAATATCTGAAACAGAGCAGGATCCATTACAAGGGGGCATCTAATTTCCCATCCCATCCTTAGAAAATATCTTCTGCAGCCTTCACATGACTCCTTTCTGCAGATGAAAAGCCACCAGGTAAGGCTAGTTTCAAGGACAACATCCTGATTTCAACATAGAAAATATAGGCACATTAAGAGATTAACAAGAAGTTGGCAGTCCCATTTCACCAGATGCTTTAAAAGTACTGTGTGATGGGAAAGGCTTCAAGGAGGTACTAAGCCTTGGCACTGATGTCTCCTGAAACAACGAAGACCTAGCCCCTACAAAAAAGGGTTGTCCTGCTGCCTCCTTCTTCCATTTTAGAGTTTCTTATAATGCTTTTTTCCTGGTTTTTTTTTAAATACAAAATTGTTCCTTAGTAGGAAACATCTGCGACTGTGAAACAGAACTTTTTGGCATTGCTTTTTTTTCTGTTTGTTCGTTTTCAAAAGACGTGAATCAAGGCATCCTATACTGGTGGCTTCTCTGACAAGACTTCTCTCTTCTTTTCCTTAAACTGCTCCTTCACTCCAGAGGGGCTTCTAGTCTTTGACCAACTTGTATACATGATGCTGTGCCCCATGCTCGCTGGTAGAAACCTCAAAAACAAAGGCTATGCAGAGCAAGGTTTCCTGGGTATCTCTGTTCGTAACAACCTGAAGTAGGAAGAGCAAAACATACATAATGAGGTCAGGGAAGACTGAGTGGCAAAGTCAGAGTTTTGAGACCAGATAAATGCTACCAAGTCCACTCATTTATGCTAAAACAGGCCACAGAAATTTGCTTGGCTGTTCATTTATCAAATCCATCAGTTCCACGCCCAGGTTACAGAAAGCATCCCTTTTCAAATGATAACCTCAATATGTTAAGGTGGGATGATGAAGATGATGATTCAAAACAGAAAGAAAAGAAGACAGATTCTTAACCTGCAGGATGGTGAAATTCTCCAGGACACTGTTCATCATGTATTTTTCTGGGAGGTGTTTCAGTTTATGGATGAAGTTGATCATATACTCGCACATAGGAGACCGATGGATTCGGTACACACACCTTCCATTCTCCACACGGGCAAATTCAGTCTGCAGAGAGAAACACAGAGATCAAGAATCTCACAGTGCAGTGGTTAAGCTGTAGTACTGCAGCGAGGACTCTGCTCATGACCTGAGTTTGATTTTAGGCTGAGGTAGCCAGCTCAAGGTTGAGTTAACCTTCCATCTTTCCAAAGTCAGTATACTGAATACCGAGCTCACTCGGGGGGAAATGTATAGCCTGCATAATTCAATTGTAAACCCAGAGAGAGCTTGAAGTGCTATGGGGTGATATATAAGTGGTACACTTTTGATTTGAATTACAAAAATGTGTATATAAAATAGTGTGACTTGGATGGAGAGGATGAAACAGTACATGCATTTAATTCTTGCACTTAGGATGGAATTTGAGATAGGGCAAAGGAAACTTAAGGGATGAATCACTGCAAGGATCAAAGCAGCCCACTACGCTAGGGTGAAAAAATGTAACAAACTGTCAAGCTGTTACTCAGAGAAGCCACATCCAATTATAACCAAGCATGTTCAATTAAGAGTCTCATCGCCATTTAGCCTTAGGCTGTTAAATTCTTCCAGAACTGTAAAAGAACCTCAGCCCAATCCCACATTAACTATTGGGCTGTTCACCTTCTCTGTAACATATTTCTGCTGATCCCAGATACACAGGAAATGCAGAACTCACCTCCACCTTCTCAACTACTTGTTTCCCAAAGGAGCACACTTTGGTGGAAACCGTGATAGTCATGTTTTCTGCACTGCTATACTGGCTGCTTACACCATAAAAAGCACCAGGACCATCCTGAATGGTGCTGTTCAGATCCGCCTACAGCAAAGAGCAAGAAAGCAGTGTTAAAAGTGCAAAAATACATCAGAAACCACAACTAGCTTCTATTTCTGGCAAGCTATTATTATCTGAAAGAATTCTCTGACAGAATGTTGGAGTGCAAATCACTAAGAGACAAGAATGCCAACATGTGTTCATTGTGACATTAATAATCAATTATATTAAACATTAGCAATATTTAGCTAGTTACCATCCCTTTTTAATAATATTTAACAGTTTTATAATCATTTCATCATTATACAGATGGAGAATGGAAGCTTAGAATATGCAACTTGTCCAAAGTCTCCTTCAAGCACATGGAAATGCTAGAATCTGAAGGGGTATCTCACAACAGTTCAACATTGTTACAGTATATCACAGAATTGAGTACACCTCCTCACATTTCATAAATATTTTAGTGTATCGTTTCATGTGACAACACTGAAGAAATGACACTTGGCTACAATGTAAAGCAGTGAGTATACAACTTGTATAACAGTGTAAACGTGCTGTCCCCTCAAAATAACACAACACACAGCCAGTCATATCTAAACTGCTGGCAACAAAAGTGAATACACCCGTAAGTGACAATGTCCAAAGTGGAGACAAAGTGTCAATATTTTGTGTGGCCACCATCATTTTGCAGCACTGCCTTAACCCTCTTGGGCATAGAATTCACCAGAGCTTCACAGGTTGCCACTGGAGTCCTCTTCCACTCCTCCATGACGACATCACTTTAACAAGGCACTGTTTGTTTTGGCGGTGTGTTTGGGGTTGTTACCATGTTGGAATATTACCCTGTGACCCAGTCTCCGAAGGGAGAGGATCATGCTCTGCTTCACAATCCATGTTGGCATTCATGGTTCCCTCAATGAACTGTAGCTCCCCAGTGCCAGCAGCACTCATGCAGCCCCAGACCATGACACTCCCACCACGCTTGACTGTAGGCAATTGTCTTTGTACTCCTCACCTGGTTGCCGCCACACACACTTGACATCATCTGAAGCAAATAATTTTATCTTGATCTCACTGGACCACAAGACATGGTTCCAGAAATCCATGTCCTTAGTCTGCTTGTCTGCAACATACCGTATGCAGGCTTTCTTGTGCACCATCTTTAGAAGAGGCTTCCTTCTGGGATGATAGCCCTAGCCCTTGAGACCAATTTGATGCAGTGTGCAGCATATGGTCTGAGCACTGACAGGCTGACCCCCCCCCCCCCTTCAACCTCTGCATCAATGCTAGCAGCACTCATTCGTCTATTTCCCAAAGCCAACCTCTGGATATGACACTGAGTACAGGCACTCAACCTCTTTGGTCGACCATGGCGAGGCCTGTTCTGAGTGGAACCTGTCCTGTTAAACCACTGTACGGTCTTGGCCACCATGCTGCAGCTCAGTTTCAGCAATCTTCTTATAGCCTAGGCCATCTTTATATAGAGCAACAATTTGTTTTTTCAGATCCTCAAACAATTCATGACCATGAGGTGCCATGTGGAACTTCCAGTGACCAGTCTGAGAGAGTGATAACATCTGCTCCCCCTTCACACCTGACTTGTGACATTAACAGGTCTCAGGACAGGAGGGAAGGAAAAAGGCTACTTGGGCACAATTTGGACATTGTCACTTAGGGGTGTACTCACTTTTGTTGCCAACGGTTTAGACATGAATGGTTGTGTTGCGATATTTTGAGGGGACAGCACATTTACTGTTTTATACAAGCTATATACTCACTGCTTTACATTGTAGCCAAGTGTCATTTCTTCAGTGTTGTCACATGAAAAGATATACTAAAATATTTATGAAATGTGAGGGGGTGTACTCACTTCTGTGATGTACATACTGTTCCTGGGCCACATCAGTTCACGCATTTTTAGTCAATGACTGAGAAATTGACCCAAAGATGTTCAGGTATATTCCATATTGAAACCAAAGCACACTTACACTTAGTAGAACCAACAGCTACTTGCTAGTATTAAACCACAACACCAAACTACGTCAAACAAAATAATAAAGATCAAGAGTAAAAATACAGAAGGCAGAACCCCTAGCACCATCCTCTTGTCTAATTGCCTAGCCTATCATCTGGTTACAAAATAAAAACAGCTTTTTGGAGGTTTTAGACTACATGGTTTCAGTTTCACTTCAGCTTGCATGGTTCTTACCCAAAATTTGACAAGGAAAAAGGAGTTCTGTGGTCCTCTCTCATACAACTCCTTCAGGCCACCTTTCTTCTCAGGGAACTTGTCATAGATCTGGCGGATGTCCACTGCTTCCAGTAGTGGGTCGCTGTAGGAGGGATTTGTCTGCCCAATATGCACAAAGAGGTGCTTGCTGTACTGTAGTGGGAGGAACATGAAATGCAAGCATGTGGGAACAGATGGTATTATTCTCTACTGACAAAAAGAATAAGACATATCTTCTGATTCTGTACTAGGAAATTGAAGACTCAGCAACTTTATTGCCAGTCAGCACTATCTGGACAAGAACACTTCAAAAGCAGCTACAATGACAGTTATATTGCATAAAGCAACAAGAAGATGATTGGAGCACTATGCATTTCTGAGAGGTGATATGCAGAAGCTCAGGCTTCATGCAGCCACAAAAACAGAATACTAATCTGCAGAAGCAACCACGAAGACAAAATACAAATCTGCAGAAGTTTATAAGAGCAGGAAAACACCACCCACATATACATCCAGCCCCAACAGGTGGCAGTGTCTAATATTCTTCCTTGAGAGTTACCGTTTCAGGGTCACGCTGCACTTCCATGAACGCAGAATACTCAAGGAGCCGTAGCTTGGTGGAAGCGATGGTGCGGTCCTGCCAAACTGGCACAGCCGAGGCAGCAGGAGGGAGAGGAGCCAGGGGCTCATAGCCTGGAGGGAAAAAGGGATACAGTATTCCTGAGCACTGTTGGGACAGACTTTAGTACCAGAGGTGGGAAAAAAACTGATTTTATCTTGCCCTGGTGCCTATAATTCCTAGTAAAAAAGGACTGTTATTACATACATTCATATAACGTGTTTTCTCCAGAGAATTTCATGTGGTGTATGTGGCTCTCATTCTCCCCACTTTATTCTTACAACAACATGATGTAGTTCAGGTTGAGAATATTGGCCTGGGGTCATGCTGAGAGTTTCATGGCTGACTGAGTATTTGAACCCAGGTTTCCCAAGTCCCAGTTTATCATCCCTTTAATGACTGCCTAGAGATCAATTACAATGCAACCCTACTCTCTCTCATTATTTTTTAAATTTGCATGTCATTTCTGGGAAATTATCTGGGCTTTCTGAACAGTGAGACAACAGCAACAGTGAAATGAATTAAGATTCCTCTGTGCTCCAAACCTCTGCTACTTGCAAGGAAGGGAGGAAGGGAGGAAGGGAGGGAGGAAGGAAGGAAGGAAGGAAGGAAGGAAGGAAGGATGGAAATGACAAAGAATCTCGAACTCTTGATGACTCCTAAGATCAAAACAGTTTACCTTCTCTGGGTAAAGTGCAACTTAAATCTCTAGACACTACAGTAATCCAAGAAATCATCATCCTATTCTCACAGGGTTTTTTTTAAGTCAAAGAGTATGAGGAGGACCACTAAAAAAGATCAATAAGCTTCCTGACAAATTGCATCACTTCCTGCTGTCAACAAGGTCTTCCACCCATACTGTATCTCAGAGATGAAGAGCTGGGTGGAGGGATGAACTAAAAGGTCAAGAGGTTACTGAGAAGGACTAATATAAATGTAATCACATACTGTGAATGTTTCATTCAAATTCCTAGAACTAAATATAAAGATCTCCTCACTTGGTCAAATTTAACAAACTGGGAACAACTCTGTTGCTGAAATGGGCACATTTGTTCTGATCCAATAATTCTAATATATTTTCATTTTTGTGCTAATGGACCCTCCTCCTTTCCACACAAGACCTCCTCCAGTCCCACTTGCAGCTCTGTTGGCTGTGAAGAAATACTAGATATAAACTCGGCCCCAAATCAAAGGACATGCAGATCATGGGAAGAGCATGCATCTCAGTCTCCCCCAGTTCCAGGCATGCACACTGAAGCCAACACCATGAAGTTGAATAAAGCAAGATGTTTGAAATGAGGGTCTTTTTATTCTTTTTTTTTTCCTGTGCAAATCAAAGGAAAAGCCATGCAGGAATGGAGGTAGATCAAGTCATAGCAGTTGAGGATGGGAGAGTAGAAACCTTCCCCTGAACCATTTTTCAAATTGTATCCCCAAAGTTGCTATTTTACCAGTGGGAAGAAAACAGATACCACTACCACCTGGAAGCAAGTGGGGGAGAGTTAGTTTCCTGGAATTTTCAGATGTGTACTAGTCTGTTTTCACAACAAAAACAGAAGTATGGCAGTTCCTTTAAGACTAACACATTTATTTCTGTACAAGCTTTTGTGGACTGCAATTCACTTCTTCAGCCACACTTCTTTTGGAATGGAACGTAACATAGGCCATGTCTATGAATTAAAAAGGAAATAATCACTCTTCTGTCTGGACCAAGAAAAAAAATTCAGGCTCAGAGAATTCCTCAGGAGTGACAGAAACCAGCTAGGGCTGTGTGAGTAAGTAGAGACTGATACTAAGTAGCTAACAGAGTTTTATTTCTTGAGAGCAACAGTTAGTTAGGGAAACCAAGGGAGCCAAATCACTTACTGGCTAGTGATGGAGGCATGGGTGGCTGGATGGGGTAGGCTGGTTGTGCAAAAGGTTTAATGCTGAAAAAGACAAAAGTGTACAACAGGTTAGTCAAAATCTCATCTGACAAAATCTCTTCTAGGTAAAAAGTAAAGGTTCCCCTTGATAATTTTTTTTGGTCCAGTTGTGTTCGACTCTACGGGGCGGTACTCATTCCCGTTCCCAAGCCATAGAGCCAGCGTTTGTCTGAAGACAATCTTCCGTGGTCACATGGCCAGTGCGACTTAGACACGGAATGCTGTTACCTTCCCACCAAGGAGGTCCCTATTTATCTACTTGCATTTGCATGCTTTCGAACCGCTAGGTTGGCGGGAGCTGGGACAAGCGACGGGCGCTCACTCCGTCGCGTGGATTCGATCTTACGACTGCTGGTCTTCTGACCCTGCAGCACAGGCTTCTGCGGTTTAGCCCGCAGCGCCACCACATCCCGTAAAAATCTCTTCTACTCATACCCAAATTAGTCAAAGGCAAGGTCTCGAAGAGGAACCCATGACAATTTCTCACATATGTGGGAGTCCCACCAAAGATTTACCCTTAACTCTCACTTACATTTCACCAGCCGTGCCAACTATTTCCCTGTCCACAAATAACTCAAGAGAGCCTGACAAAACACACTCATGCAGCAAACCTTCTGTTGATGTATTTCCCTATGAGATCTAGAAGTTGCTATATCATCAGAAGCAAGCAATCACCTCATGAAGATTTGCTGTACTGCAGACTAATCCTGAAGACTAATACAGTAATCTTTTCACACATAAGCAAAGAATGCAACTCGTGTCTGTTCCTCCTAACCCAAGGAATAAAAGAGGCATTCATACTAGCCTAGTTTATTGTACAAAAGGTTGTGACTAAGACAGTATCCAAGAATGATGATCAGGACAGAGCGCAAACATGAATGTTTATGATAGTCAAGTGTATATCCATCCCACAGAGCACTCTGGAAAAAATTTAAGAGTATCTATGGATTTATCTCTCCCATCTCAGTGGATATACTAAAAACAATACAGCTACTCGGGTGGATTCTCTATTCAACTGACATGAAAACTCAATCTGGCATTTGTTTTTCAAAAAAACATATCCACAGCCATCTTGTACATTTGTACCTTTTTGGCACCTTTCATCCAGTTGTCATTAGCATCCGCGTACTAGCTGGCTTTGCATATCTAGGGGCAAACTCATATATCTGCAACTGAGGGGCATATGCCTCTGAATAACAGTTTTTCATGCAATACAATAAAGATGATGCTGTTGCACTCATTTCTTGTGTGTAGGCTTCACATAGGCATCTGGTTAGCCACTACAGAAAAGACCAAAATCTAGATAAGCCTTTGGTCTGATCCTGCTTTTATGTTCTTTGGCAGAGCAGAATACAGTTATGAAGCTGCCTGCTTTAAAGGCCCACCTCCAGCCTTGTGAATATTGTGTGCAATGACATATCACATAAGGAAATAATCATTAAGCATCCCTCTAATGTGAATTTTGAAAGTGTGTATAAGGAGAACTTTTTGTTCAAATGGACTCCACTATGTGAGGTTTAATTAGAACAATCCATGAATGTAATGATGCCTATAGTGCTACTTGCATTGGTCCTTAAATTGAAAGAGTTAGAACACAGCATTTTAGAAACACAGGCATAAATAAGTAGCTTATTCAAAAAAGATTGCAATTTGGCATCAGCTTCTCTGGAACAATTCAAATACTGTCTACACTAGTGTCATCCTCCATGTAATTCTGCATTCAAAGTATCTCTTTTGCCAAACTCAAGTTCAAAGACGAACACAAGTATTTACTTACTCCTGAGAAGGTCCAGAATGTCCTGTGATAGGTCCACCCCAAAACTGAGGGAACAAAGAACCAAACAATATCAGGGACACTGCTGACAGCTCGCTTTTAACAGTTTCTTAAAGATCTCTTCAAAATTATATAATGATAATATCTGTATCATTGAATAACATTTCTGCAGACTAACTTGGAAATAGTGTTGTTATAGAGCTGGGAAGATATGCTGGCAATTTCACATGAAGTCAGTGCATTTCTTCAGTGAAACAGTTGGATCAGATTTGCCACAACCTAGTGTTGGGGCCGATAGTATGGGAGTGGGAAAAAAAAGATTAGATAAAAGTATTTTGGGGAGGCGCTGAATGACGTTCCTGGTGTGTGTGAAGAAAAAGGAACAGAAATTGGGGCACAACATAAGCTAGTTTGAAATTCAGAGACAAAGACATGTGAATGAATTCATAGAGAACTGGGGAAGGGTGGTAAGAGTTCATGTATGTCAGGCAGGAAAGTACAGCAAAAAAGCATATTCAAATTGTGCTAAAGTACACCTATTAGCTAGGATTACACTGTGAAACAAATTAATGGATGTTTCCTTCAGAATCATCTCTTTGTGTGCCATATTCAGCACTAACTCTCCATGACAGAAGCAGCTGACACTGTACTATTACCTACTATCAGTTCTTCTCTTTGGGTCTGAGCCTCCTGAAAAAGAGAGGAACACATTAGAGCATCTCTTACCTTGGGAGTAGCAGAGAAGACAGCCTGAGGGAGTGGAGGAGGGGGGCTGAGCTTGTTCTGCAGGACACTAGCAGATACAATCTGTGCTGATGACATGGAAGCCATACTCTGCAAGGCCTTGTCCTTTGAGACTTGATCCTTCAAAACAGAACCAAAGAGAAAGAGAGAACATAGATTGGGGATGAAAGGCCAATTCACACAACATTTATTAGTTTCACGAGAGCTGTTCATTTTCAGCCTAAGCTCAGAAATTAACCATTCATGCAGAGTGTTTCTCAGAATAAGTTAGAATTTTTGCTAATGTTATTCTTAAAGCTCATTTTTCAAGGATACTGCTAGTCATGGAGATTGGTTTTTGAAGAACTGCACAACGAAACTCAGAAAAGCAGGGCACACGTATCCAGTCTAGTTTTCAATCAGCTTAGTATCCAAATACTTCAGGAAATATTTAAAAGCTATAGTATTAATTCAAAACCTTGCACTAATGGGGCAATATATAAAACAAATCAAATTAGTATATACTGATTTGTCCGCATTTGTTCTTTTCTCAGGCAGTACCTTATTAACAGGGAACTAATTGGGCTGATACAATACTGAATTGCACTTACCAAGTTCATAGCCTGCATTAAGGGAACAAGAAGGGGGGGGGAGAGAAAGAAATATGATTAGTAATGCTGTAGTGTTAGGAAATGAAGTGAGGTGGGTAAAATCTATGTAATTCATAACAGTTCTCAATATTATGGGCTTCATTTTGCAAATAAGTTACATCTGACGGAGACTGATTTTCAATACTGTACAGTACAATCTCTAAATCTACATTGCAATCTGCATCCCACAAAGGAAGGAGTGAGTGGCATGAAGCTTATCTCAAGAGGTAATTTCAAGGAGGCTGTGCTGGAAGCAAGGGGGGGGGTAACCCTTGCAACAGGCCATCCTGTTTCTTGTCCAACATCTTTGTTCTGGACCTAGACATGAATGACAAAATGGTTACACGGACTGCATAGACATTATTATACACTAGGTTACACGGATTGCATAGACATTATTATACACCAGGTCTGGCCGTTATACTCTCCTGCAATCTATTAGTATTGCCAATAGATAATGATGTACGACTGCATTTGAACTTAGTAAATTTAGGGTTTTTTTGGTCTGAGTGGATATAATTCTTAAAAGCAGCCAGACAAAGCAAAGATAACCCAAGTAATTTTCTTAATCTATCTGGGAACGACTAATTTGCACAGATCAAAACTCCCACAGAGATAATTGCTTGGCCCATTAAAGCCTTTGTATTCTTTTCCTTTGGGAGGTTATAGTTTCTCCCTTTGGGCTTCTTTTTGGAGACAAAATTGCATTTACTTTATTGTCTACAACAAAATTAAATGCCATCTCCAGTACACATAATGATAAAACACACACACAAAGAGGAAGATGAGACACCTGTGGTGTTTAGCAAGTAGGACCGGTGGTGGCAGTGTAAAGGACAGCACAGAAGTTATGAACATGTAACTGAATGTCTGCTCAGACAGGCTCACAACCCCCACACTGGCGGGAGATGGAAAACTTGTCTTCTCAGCATTCCCTCCAATGGGCCTGCTTGCTAACTGGGACACCTGTAGGTGATGGGGACATTTTGGGTATTTGCAGCCAAGCACCTACATGTTCATCTTGTCTTTTTAAAATCATGTTTCCTTTCTGAAGTGTCTCAGTGTTAAGGAAACTAAATCTACAGCCAGAGATTCTATTTTATTTTTGCACAATATATAATGCCTTCAGGTCACTTTTAAGTCCCAGAAACGTAGTAGAATGGCCAAAGAGATGCCATGTAAACCACAATTTCAGCAAAAATTAAACAGGGTTAACTATGGGCATTAACTACATGTACATGAAAAAATAGTGTGATTGCATTAAGACAATATAACTGAACTAAGCAAATATAACTGAGATATAATCAAGTCTTTGCATTTTATCTATGAGATTTCTTTTGACTCTATATGATAAGGCAGTGGCCTCAATATGCTTAATTCTGGACTTTGAGTAGGGCTGGGCGCTGAATGAGTCAAATACTGTCTGATTATAGAAACTATTATGAGAAGAACATTTCTGGGTTTTTTTTGTAATGGATTTAAGTAATCACACTTATTTGGTAGTTATGCTCGTATTTTATAAAAATCAGATGTCATTGTATAGTTTCATAATAACCATTGAAAGGGAGATAATTATATCCTTTAGGCTGAGTTGATGTGGATATAGGATTTTCATCTTGAGTGAAAATCTGAACCAGAGGTTCCCTGGCATAGCCAGCTGATGAGTGCTTCTGTACCATTCTGGGCACACCTTGAGAGTTACAAACAAGGAAGAGTGAAAAAAGCTTTATCATCCTTCTATGTTTGACAGTGCTGCAGTGCTAGGGTGCAAGATGACCTTACTTCTACCCTTGCTAAGAAACAGTGGTAGGATTAAACAAAAAAGTAAGCTACCATCTACACAACGGCCTTCTTAGAATATTGGATAAAAGTTGATTGTAGACCCATAATAGGCATGAAGTGAGAGACAGCAAACATTGAGGAAATACTTACTGGCCAGAATCCTGTTGGAGATTTACACACACATAAGTTAAACTGCATAAACAACTAAGGCTAATAAAAATCCAGTCAATGTTGGCTTATGTTGACCTGGCTAGGTTTTTAAATGCCTTTTCCACAATTTTGTGCTGCTTTCCAACTGCAACGTATTTCATTAGATTGTAATGAATTTGGGGGGTAGGCCAATACTTGTAAGCAATTTAATTTGCTTGTGGACCAGTCATTTTTTAAATTATTATTTTGGGACAGAGGATAAGGAGAGCCATGGACTTCAACCTATTTACTGCTGCCATTTTGCATTCTAGAACAGGAAGGATATTTTAGGCTGAAAAGGTTATATAGCTCACAGAACTGGAATATCTAGCTACTTTCCACTGCAAACAACAAGAATGAACAGAGAACCAACTGAAGTTCAAAATAACCATGACTTAAGACAACCCTCTCCCCACTGTGTCTTTGAGAGGCATCTTACTGAACAAATCACAATACACAGAACACACAGAGGAAAGCATTATAGAAAGATTAGAAAATCTCTAGTCATAGAAGAAAGAAGAAAAGGAAAGCCAACCACAGAAGAAAAGGAAAGGCAATCACAGGATAAAAGCTCTTAAGCGTAACTTCCTTGGCTCCTGGTCCCATGGGCTTATTTTTTTAGCAAAATTAATCAACAGCAACAAGTCACATAATAGAAGATGCTCACTTTTGGTTCCATGCATCTCCATCCTAAGCAGCTCATCTCATGGACCTCTCTGGCCAAATGTCTGCCAAATTTCCTGCTCAGATGACAGAAACAGGCTGTGATATCACTCCTTACATTTCCCAGTGGATGTACTGCTTCTCATTGTTTGGTTTTGTGTTAAATTACTGCTACTATTTTAATTGATTTTAAAAAGCTTTAATTTTAATTGCATTTCATTCATGTAACTGAATTTAATTCTGTTTTAATGGCATCTGACATTTTATTGTATTTTAATCCGCTATTGTTTTAAATTATCCTGTAAGTTACCTTGGGTCCCAATTCTGGGAGAAAAGCAGCACATAGATGAAGTGAAATAAATAAATACATTTTCTTGTATCTGCTGAAGTTAAACAACCATTAGCTTTAAAGCAGAGAGAGGTTTGTAATGTACTGGAACATCCTTTACTTATAAGATGCACTCTAGCAATCAGAATATGTACATACAGAACTTTGATTCTTTTTAAAAAATTATCTATGTACAAAGCTTTTCCAAAGGAGTGTGTGTTATTCTGGGGTTTTGTGGAGGAGGTGCTGGTCTGTTACTTCCATGGTCAACCTCCATTGCTTGAACTTCTTATTCTGTGAACCATCTTGGGGAGCCTTGTACTCATGAAAAATCATCATTATCATCATCATCATCCCTACCACCATTACCAAATTCCTCTACTGTAGTGGAGACCAAAGAACTGTGAATCATGTCCTATTATAATATGTAATAATAATAATAACAACAATAATAGTAGTAGTACTGCAGAGCTGGAAGAGACTTATGGATCATCAAGTCCAGTCCCTATCAAGGAGGCACAGTGGGAAATCCATAAAAACCACTGAGCTATACCTTCTTATTCAGTAGTGGCTGGTGTCACACCACCTTGTAGGTCACTACTAAACATACATGGCTTCCCTTACTAAGACAAAGTCCCAATTACGGCGGCTGCAGTGCAGCATTTTCACAAAGAGATATATCAAAGGCTAACAGGTGGGATTGAGCGTAGCACTAGATGCTTATCGAGAAATCTCGAATATTTCATCCACCAACCTGGGGACCTGTCATTCTCGGAAATGCAATGTTTTCATTCTGATTTGTATGTTGGGCTTTGCTTTACCACGATGTCAGAAAAGCTGCACCGGAACATTTCAAGGCAAATTCTGAGAAGAGGTGAAAGGGGAAGATGGTGGAATATGATACTATTGATCCTCCTAGACCTCTCAGTGACTTTTGATGTTATGGATCATGGTATTCTCTTGACCTTCCTCTGTAGAGAATAGGAGGCAGTGTATTACAGTGGCTCTGTTCCCATCTGTGGGACAAGTTCTAAAGTGCAGTCAGCCCCATTGCAATTTAAGTTGTGGGCTACAACAGGTTTCATTCTATCCCCTACAATGTTCAATATTTATAATGAAATCATTGGGAGAGGTCATAAGGAATTTTGGTGTTGGATGTTTTCAGTGTGTTAGTGACACTCAGCTCTACTTTTATTGTGTAGGTATTGGAACACTGTCTGGATGAAGTAACAAGCAAATAAACTGGGCCTGAATCCCAACATGATGGAAGCTCTGTGGTTTTTATGTTGGGTTGAGTAAACAATCTGTTCAGCACCTCCCCCCACCCCCCAAGTCTTCTCAACTCTACCGCCTTAGCCATGGAAGGCTCTCCCTTTGAAGGCTTTATTGGTGTTAATGTTGATTTCATTTCAGCCCCAAGAGTGTCTACAAGAACCTTTGCATTTTAAGGAGTTTGGCTTAAACAGATTGTGGAATTCTTTGCAATATAAAAGGTTTCAAAAACTGTTCTAAATTCTTTAAATTTCTTTATGTGCGTTAAATAGTCTAACATTCTTTTAAATAATTTCATATATCTATTTTTTAAAAAAAAATGTTCTTGTATGCTCCTCTGAGATATTGTCCCAAGATATATATATTCTAAATAAATGAAAAAATAAAGCAGAGGTGCGCTATCACCTTTCCCCCTTCCAGCTCTCTCTTCCTTCAGCAGGACTTTTAAAATGCCCAGTCCCAGGAACAAAGGGAGAGGGTAAAGACATAAAAGGAAAAGAGCAGCAACCACAGAGCGTAGCGTGTTAGTTGCCAGCACAGCCATGGGTGAAAAGTGGCAAAGCCGGTGAAGCGCGTACCTTCAGCTTGGACTGAATCTCACGAGATTTCCGTCTGGCTAGAACCTGCAAGTGGCTAGAGACCTGCAGAGAGAAAAGCAGAAGGAGAGGGGAAAAACAGCAGAGCCGTCAACCAGAGGAAAGGAAAGGAAGGAGAGGGGGCTGCCCATGCTCACACACCACAGATGCATGGGCAGAGTCTCCAACGTACCTTAATGCCAACCTGGTACTCTCGCACCTTCTTCCGAGCTAGAACCTGTATATGACTGGACACCTAGGTCCCGCCAAGTCATTCAAAAAGGAAAACACAAACAGAATGAAGACATGATCCCACATTGTTTTGTGTGACAACAGTGCTTCAAGCACTCAGGTGACACACACTGGCCCTGTAAGCCAATGAAATTCTACAGCAGGGCACTTTAATGCTGATCAAAGGGCTCAGCTGGAAGGAACTGTTGGAGCCCATTGAATGAAACAAATTTAAGCTTAGGCTGTGACATTTGTGGTTATTATCCTTGGCAAATAAATTTTTTGAATGTCGCTTGCTTCTTAGCAGCAAGTATTAACTATATCCATTCTCTTTCAGAGTTTATTGGTCTAGGTTTCAGGAAACACTCACACTTTGAACTCTGTGCTGTTTCCAACATAACATTTTGTATGTTCATGCCTATGACACAGGACTACGCTCCACAGTTATATTAATCCAGACACGTGAATTAAGTTCTCCAAGTCACATATCTGGTGCCTCTCATACAAATATGAAAGAGCAACTAATGCTAAAAACTGTTTCCTTCCAGGTATTTAGTACATACTGTTCCATTTTTACAACTTGGACAGTGGTATCTAGAAAAAGTTTTGAGCTCTTTGCAAAACTGTTTCAGTGGCAAATACTGAAACAAATATTGATGCAAGATGTTACTGCTCATCAGAGTTTCACAGAAGTTAAACATATCTGCTTCTCCTACCAAATAAGTGGTTTAAACACTAAAGAATCAGGTTGAACGTTTCCTTAAATAGCATTTTCCTGTTGTGATCCCACAGTACATCACCATATTTACCCAGGTTCTTTTTACCCTTAGCTGCTAACATCAAATACAGCTTTTGTTTATGCAAAGACCTGCATGACTTATGTGGAGCAAAACTGTCTATTAGCCCTCAGCCCATGGCTGAGAGACTGATACATATTTTCGACATAATGTTTGTTTTTATTTGGTTTAACTCTGCCTCCCAAAGAAAAGTTTTAATAGAAATCCCAAGGCATACCTTTGCATTATCAAAGTACAATCAGAATCTTGCATGTGCTCTACAGAAAGGGGAAACAGGTTCTTTTCAAACTTGAGGAGACAGGTGAGAAGATCAGAGACCACTATGCCAACACTGATCTATACTACAACCAGTCTGCGGAGACTAGTCTTCTTCATTAGCATAGACTTAATTCTACAGGGCTTTTCAATAATTAACACTGCTGACCAGATGCAAGAGATTCAGCAAGTAGCAATAGATAACAGGTCTGCTTTCCTTCTCAGTGTAGACAAAACATTTCTTCCCAGTCATACAGATTCCTATCTGTTGTCAGGTTGTAGCCCAATTAAATATATTTAGCACTACCCCAGTTCTGCATAGGCTACAATTTTGAAGGAAAGGAGGGACTTTCAAGCAGAGCAGGGGTATGAAAATAGCTGCATATATGTTTAATAAAAATCTTATTAAAGTTTATATAAATCCACAAAATCCTCTTTCAGACAGTTCAATACTTGTGCCTAGAGAAACCAGCATAGACATGGACTTAACCTTTCAAATTTAATTGTCCAAAACAAGAAAAAAAAATCCAGACATAAAGTGGTGGTGGTGGGAGCTGCTAAAATATTTGTAAATGAATATTTAGGATGTTTCATCCCTCTCAACATTCAACAGCTTCCATTAATATGACACATAAGACAAGGTAATATAACTAATGAGAACTGGAAGTTCTATAAGGAATTCTACCACTGCCCACCAGTGAAGCCTAAACTTCTTAAACTTCTCTTGTATGTTTCGGGGGGGGGGGGGATGACAGTGGTGGTGCAGAAGTGCAAAGAAGGACTCTGTGACCTTGTCCTTGGTTGTGAACACACATTCTCATTCAGATCCCTCTGAATTATTATTCCCACACTACCACAGCCTGCAGAGTAACTGTCAAGTAATAGTACAATACAGGCCGTCATGCAGCTATGTAAGACCTAACCTTCTCTTTCATATTTCTTTGACAGATTGGGTTTTTGCATAGCATGCTAGTAGACTGTTCCATGAAGTCCAAGACAACTTAAAGTCCTTACAGAATCTGCAGACATTATAGCATGAATCTCTTGACTATTACAGACAGAATATACGCCATTACTACTTAGAGGCCAGTTGACATGCAAGAGAACCTTTTAAGGATTCAGGCGATGTCATTCAGTGGACCTAATATACACCAAAAAAAACATACTATCTACTGCCCCTGTATCAATTAGTCCTGAAAGCAAAATAAGAGAATCATGCAATGAATACATGTAGCAGCACAGCCCTCCCCTCCCCAAATTGTCCTTCCTGCACTTCCACATGAACAACCTGCTGGGTTAGAAGTATGGGAGACTTCCATACAGGGAAACAGCAAAATAATACAAACCCTTGTCCACCTCTAAGGTAAATGACAGATCTAAAAAAAAGTCTTGTCCACAAAAGCTCACATTAAAATATAGTGGTTAGTCTTCAAGGTGCCACAATGTTTTTGTTGTCTTCTTTTTTAAATTTTTGTTGTTTTTGCTTGAAAGATCTCAAAAAGCTTACTTTTTGGACTATAGTTCTTAGAATCCCTTTAGACAGTGTGAGGATTTTAGAAGTTGTAGCCCAAACAGTAATTTTCTAATCTCTGAGTTCTCAGATTCAGTGATCACTTCTGGAATGGTTTTTGTGCGATCTGTTACCCTCAGTCACAAAAACAGGAATATAGTCTCCACCACAGACTGTACTTCATGTTTTCCTGATATAAAACTCAATTTCACAGCAGTGATGGGCAACACTGAGATGAAATTAGCTTGACACAACTGCTTATACAAGACACATTCAATGAATTTGAGAAGCATAAGTGATGAGTAAGTTTCCTTTCTGGCTATTTCTCTTTTGAAATAAAGCCTGACACTTTGGCCATCCATTAATTTCATTGCTATGCGGCATGCCCTAACATACTCTACATATGTTTCTGCTTCATGATTTTTCACACTACTAGTAGAATTTAAATGGTACTAGCTAGTTCCAGTCCCACTATGGATTCTTTGGTGCACTGTATAATAAATGAAACAGGACGTTTGCTCTGCAGAAATAAAACAGTGTCATAGTGCTCGTCCATTTCCACTGAATTTTGGAAGGAGGATTATAACAAGCACATGCTAGTTCTAACAACTTTCAATGCAACTAGGGATTTTAGAGTTCTAATTTTTGCTACAGACTCCTTAGTTTTATGCAGTGGCTTACAGCCAAAGTATAAAAAATATTAGAACAATAAAGCATAATTCTCATTTATTTTATCTGAATCAGACTATGTTGAGAATAACTGTATCAAAGAAAGGAAAGCAAGGAGAGAACCTTTAAACAAGAAAAACAAATACATTTTAAATCTATAGGTTCCCTATTCCTGAACAATTTCTGCCAGTTCTGATGCCCATCATAGACTACAGTGGCGGATCAAATTATGATAATGTAGACGCATATATATAGAAATATGCATGAAATATGCATGCATTCATGTGCATGATTTCAACACCATGTTAAAGACCAGCACATCTTCATTCTCAGTATCACCCTTTTTTAAAAGAGGCTAAGTACCAAATAAATTTTTACCTGCTTTCTTGTCCTTGTTTTCCCCGTCCGAAGCTTGATGTATCTTGCTATCAATTCATTACGGCCTAAAGCAAAAAAGAAAAGCAAATAGAAAACATGGAAGTTAGAGCCTTCCCCCACAATTCCTAATGTACAAAAGGTTGTCCTTTGAGAAGTGAGAACCACCTCCTTCCATAATCAGAAAAAGAGTCAAAGCAATGATTCCAATGGCATTTTACCAGAAGATGGTGCTATGACAAAAGTTGTCCAAATGAATTAGGTGGCCTGAAAAGACACTGCCTGAGGCCCTGACTGTTTATTGTAGCTGTTTTGGTAGGGCTACTCTACTTCAAGTGGGGTGGAAGAAGAATATGAAACTGAACCATGTGTTGTTCACTCAAAATGGGGGACAGTCCAAAACCTAGTAGGGAGGCTGCCATTGTGTCAGCTACACAAGTGATTTCTATTGTGCTGGCAGAGGCCCATTGCTGAGGGCCATGCTGAGGGCCTGGAATGCTTCTCGCCCAATTTCCCTGCACTCTGTTAAAACTTTAAAGCTTCTGTGTTCTTTGTTTAAGAGAGAATCTACAGAACGTCTGCCCACCATCACAATGCAATCCTAAGGAAATGTTGCAACACATCATGAAATCAATGCGCTATTTTAAAAAAATGATGAAACGGAACCCCTTCAGAGGTTGGGCTTTGACTTTTGCAGCACGGAGCAAGACATAAAATGTCACAGCATTGGAATATTTTAAATGGAACTGGTTTTTTTTAAAAAACCAGTCTTCCCAACCTCCTTGTCCTAATTCGAAGCAGAAGAGCTTTTGCTCCACATTTTACAGGCCAGCTGTGGCCAATCTAAATTCAAACGTCAGAGCAGCTGGGAGCTCTCTTCCCCCCCCATCTCCTCCCCTCTGAACATTAGGGGGGTGGGGGACAATAGGGCAGGAAAGCATACCAGATTTATTTTAACAGACCAGATGGTGGGGTGGCTGGCTGAAATGCCCTTGCAGCTAAATTGGATGATCTCCCCCCCTTCAAAAATTAGAAAGCTGAAAGTAACTGTTGCCATTCTGGCGATGCCCATCCCGTTTCTTCCTTTCAAGGCAGGCACTGGATATCAGCCCTGAGAACAGGCCTCTCTCTGAAGGGTAAATGAAGATGTACACCCTCCCCCCTCCTCATCCTACGTTTTAACAGACAAGACCAGGTGCTTTACAGGGTCAAACAACACCATGTGAGAGGGAAAGAGAAGGATGATACCATATACTAGAGTAACAATGCCCTCAACTTTAAAGCCAGCTGGCTCACCACACATCCCCTCATGTGCATAGTTTCTGACATGGATGGAAAAAGCAAGCTCTCAGAGGACTTGCTCTTTCTTATGAGTGGGGGACACGGGAAGCAAAGAATAGCTCAGAAACCATTGGAGAGCTGATATCCTCTTTATAACCCCGAAGTGCAGTATTGTTCGGTTTAGCAGGGCCTTCCATTCTACATGGAGTGGTGGATATATTTGTGAAGACTTGTCTCTATGTTCTAAGGAACTCTGCCCTAGGCCAGTGCCTTCCAAATGTATATGATTACAACCCCCACTATTCCTAGCCAGCACGCCCCATAGAATTATATGCAACCCACAACTGCTTTATTTATATTTGTAGCATTCATTTGCTCTGTCTTTCTCACATAGACTTATGTACAGATTTATTAACAGTTGAGGAAAAGAAGGCACAGAGCACAAACAATCAGCATGAAAGCTGAAAGAAATACTCAGCATCTTGATTTAATAACAGAGTCCCCCTATTCCTTGTTCACCCTCTCCTATGCATTCTGGACTGGGGGGAAACCCAGATTCATTCGGGAGAAGTGAAGATTTGAGTGGCTCAATTTTTTACACCAAGACAGTAATGCTTCTTTTGCTTGGCAGTGTTACAATTCTACAGTCACTGAGGCCATTAAAAGTACCTATAATTAGTCTGTCAATGATTAATTGGCTCAAAGAATTATGATTTCCACATTAGATTGCCCACTGTATACTCAACAATTGCACTCATTGTAAAAGGCAACAGTGGCTTGTCTAAATTCTAGAGTGTGAGATTCTGTTGCTCAGTGTGTACTACCATGCATGTGCAGCCCTTGTGCAGTTGTGCTTCTAGCCTCATAAAGTCAAAGTTCACAAGCAATTCTCACCTGAATATATGCCATTATCATGCTCACAAGCCCCTTTGCTTTTTTTCCCTAGGTTTTGCTATGTTGCCTTGACACTTGTGGTAAGAATTTCCCGCCCCCTCCCCAAACTTTGTAAAGTTATGCCAAACAATTTGCACATACCACACCCTGGAAAAGTAACTTTTACATATTGCAACTCCTAGAAATCTTCAAATAGCAAGTTGGAAGTTGTAAAGCAACATTTACAAACTAATCATTTTAATTACGGAATCCTTGTACAGTATTTCATATCCATGTGCATGATCTTTAACTAGAAAACTTTGAACAACGGCTTGTGACTGGCTCTCTCCCACATGGGACCTGATGTCATATTAGATCAAAGACAAACTTCATTTCAGAGGCAAAAGTGTTTTAACTGACTCAGGCTGTCCAGTTCCTTTGCTGTCTGAATCATTACCTCCACTGATGTGACTACAAGTGCCCACAACATGGGAGAAAATAACTCCTATGGATTTTTACAATTCCATGTTAAGGGAATGTTGCCTCCTGCTTACAGAATTCAATATCTTAAAAAGTCAAGTCAGAATCCATGACAAAGTTCTCTATGGACACGATTCATCCATATGCCTGAATTCTTACTCTGCTTGCTTTTAGAAATCTCACTTTTGATGTAACACAGAAAAGAGGCAACCGTTACAGTTAGAAAGCTCCTCCAATTTAAAAACAGAAAGGTGTGGGAGAAGTGGGACTTGGCTGTTTTTGATGGTGAGGCTCTTCGCTTGCCTTCCAGCCCAAACCTTATTAGTTATAGGTATATCACATGACTGTTCATTTTCTTTCCTCTCCAGAAGACAACTTTCCTTTCTTCAGGACTCATATAGGTCTAGATATTTTGGCCCAGAATTTAGTTAATAGTTACAACTGGTTGTAAAAGTAATGTAGATGCATTTCATCAAATGCAAACTTAACATACAAGAGTTGCTCCCTAAAATATGTTAGGACTCTGAGTCTGGAAACTGGACAGATGGGTAAATGGAAGGCTGCAATTTTCTGATGTTTCACTGATCCTTTGGATGGACAATTTAATAGATTTAGAGTCATTTAACACTAACTGACAGTTTTAAGCAGTTTTATGGATTCATATACTAATACCCTTACTTGTCTCAACATGAATATAGGTTGCAGCTTTAGTATGTTAACTGATCATTCCAAAGTTTGGATGGATAACACTACAGAAATAATTAATTAGTTATGTATTGCATTCTAGTAATTGTGCTGCCAGAGGGTAGGGCAAGAAAAAAGTAAGATTAATCTTACTGCAAGAGAAGGAGTGCTCTTATTCCTTCAATGAGCTCAAAGTGGCATACATAGCTTTCTTTATCTTCACAATGACCCTGTAAGGAATGGTCAGGCTGAGAGAGTAGATGGTCCAAGAGTGAAGTAGGAACTCAGATCTCACAAGTCCCCATGCATTACTCTAACTACTAAAGTTCAGTAGCTGTCTTCTGTCTTCCATCTGTGCTTTTGATGTTTCTAAGATCTTCCCCACCCTCTCTGAGTAGTATGGGAGAAAGTAACCTATGCAACAACAGAGAAGGTGGAAGGGATCCTAGTCATCATTTTGTTTGCTACTTTGAAGATAAGGCTCCAAATTCCTGCCAGTATTCTTGCCATCATGGCTGCCTCATTTACCAGAACAAGCAGTTGAACTGAGATTCACAACAGTGGCTAGAGTGAAAGGCTTCAATCTTCTCAATCAAACATATATTCTGGTACCCTCCTTGAATAGAGGCAGCATGTCCTCCTGTTGCAGAGAAGCTCATAAGCAGCAGCAGAAGAAGAAACTTCCATGTTATTTGCATTTGGTTGGGGAGCAGTAGCAGCACATATTCGGCACACAAGCCAGTGAGAGGCCACTTCAGCATATTCCCAGACTATGAACTAGAAGTATGCACATTTGTGTTTTTGGACTGCAACTCTCAGAAACCCTCAGGCACCATGGCCATTTCTGCACAACTCTACAGACCATCAATATTGCTTAAATATGTTACAACAAAGGTTAGTGAAGGAAAACAAAATGCTAAACTTGGCAAATACTTGTCCTAGTTATATAGAGGTATTCCCTGTGTGGTGTAGCGCTGTGGTCCCCAACCTTGGGCCTCCAGATGTTCTTGGACTTCAGCTCCCAGAAATCCTGGCCAGAAGAAGTGGTGGTGAAGGCTTCTGGGAGTTGTAGGCCAGGAACATCTGGAGGCCCAAGATTGGGGACCACTGTGATAAGACCTATTGGTTGAAATACTAGTTTTGCATCTCTACTGAGCTTCCATGGCTGAGCGAGGATTCAAATCCAGGTCTCTTGTGTCCTAGTTCATCAGTCTAGCTACTATATCACACTGGGGATCGTTTTGCTAAAATGCACACCTCAAATCCATGTAACACTTACTCTTCCTGAAAAGCACAATTGGGTTCAATGAAGGGTACATATATTTAAATACTGTACCTTTAAACACCCCTTGATCTTCATTCACTGATTGGAGGAAACAGCACAGGCGGAAAAAGGCTTGCCAGGGAAATGTGGAAAGAGCTCATGACCATGAGTCAGTTTGTGGCTCAGGTGAGATTTGAAAAGGAGTGGGAATTCCCGAATTGCTAGTTGATTATGCAAACTTCAGTTAGCTTCAAGTTAAGAAGACATCTGCTTGGTTTTTCAAATATATGATTCTTAATTTTTTTAAAAAAAAAATTCAGGAGCTCCATAAGGTATACTTGGATCAAGACTGGTGTTTATTTTGGGAGCGATTTGCATTCTTGTGACTCAGAATTCCTTTACGGCATTGACACTGCTTCAGTTATAACATGCCCAGTGGGCTCTGAGGAACAGGGTTCAAATCCCCACTTGACCATGGAAAGTGAC